TATATACCATCCTCATACCTCAACAGCTTAAAGGAATAGTCCATCTTTCTGACCATGTTGCAGCACTTCCAAACCGCTCCCATTCCATTCCCCCCGCCCCCCCTCATCATACAGATTCCAGGGTTCTTCTTGTCATTATTTAAATTTGTAATTCATTTACAGAAATCTGTCAATAAAAACACAAAAAAAAAACAAAAAAACTGACGTCATGTGATCTCTTCCTCCAGCTCCATAACTGAAGGAATAAGATAGAACGAGTCCAGAGACGGGTAACAAGAATGGTGGAAGGTCTGGGGGATAAAACATATCGAGAGCAACTTGTACAGTCTGGAGGAAAAGAAGGGAAAGAGGAGACGTGATTGAAACCTTTAAATACATCAAGGAGGGTGAATACGGTTCAGGAAAGCGGGATTTTCAACACGAAACCATAATCAAGAACACGGGGACATGACCTCCAACTAAATGGAGGAAAATTCAAAACGAATCTCAGAAAGTAATATTTTACTGAGTAGTTGATACTTGGAATAAACTTCCAGCAGAGGTAGTGAGCCATTCAACAGTAAAAAGCTTCAAACGTGTGGGACAACTATAGATCTATTAACAAAAAAAACAAAAAAGAAAGAAACAAAAAAACAAAACAAAACAAAACAACCCCCCACAAAAAAAACAAAAAAAAACAAAACTTTTCTATGTTTTAATAGTCTGCAAGAGCCAGAGCATTGCACCCAACACCCACTGATCGCAGCTGCAATGCTTTGAAATTTATATTTTTTTTAATTAATTAATATGGGTGCATTTTTTTATGTTTTAGCAAAAGACGGGCTGTGCTTTTAGGTATTTCAGCCACTAACTTGAAAGCCATTTCAATGTAATCCTGTAGTGGGGGAATACTGAGGTCGCTGTCGTGACCTCTGCTTCTGGAAACGCTCATTAGTTGTCATACTGATCCAATGGCTTCCATATGTTCTGAGGCTCTGACCTGGAATACTCATGCAGATCAAAAAGTGATAAAGCCATAGCCAGCCAGGAAAGCAGCATTTTCAGAAAGCCTGTGTTTTTTTTTTCCTGTGTATAGGTATTTATTAAACATTCCAGGACAATGTCGGATAAGAAAACAAATTAAAGTAGAACTAAGGGCAAGAAAGGGGGGAAATAACCCCTGACAACCTTTGGGCAGATTGTGCTTCACTTCCTGCCCCGAAGCCAAAACATGTGAGAGGAAATCCCTCCAAAGTGAGGGAATCCCTGGTTGTCACCAGAACTAGTGTCCCCATTGAAAGGTTTCCCTTCTCTTCCTGTGACAACCCAAAAATTGGGATATTCTTTCACTCTTGATAATAGAAAACAGAGCTAATAGGGAGGGTGACTCTCCCCAATGGGGACACAATAGCAATAAAAACCTGACAAGGGTTACCAAAGTACATGGGATCTAAACTCCTCTACTCTATTCAAAGCTGAAAAAAAAAAGGCTTTAGGTTTGGGTCAAACCTACAGGTATGGCCAAGCACACTCGCATTTTTGCTGCGATTCTGTGCGTCGCATGTAGGGCTGCCCATTCATTTTTCAATGGGCTGTTTGATGCATAACAAATGCAGGAAAGGAAGTCCCTGACTCTCTTTCAAAGGCGTGCGGCACTGAACCACATGTGCTGCGGCACCATACGATTTGGAACGCTTTTGAAGATGCGTGGGGGCGCCAATTATGAGCACTGCCTGGTGTCTGCTGAAGGGCAGCGAGTTTCTCAATTTTGCGCATGTTCCCAACAGGCACATAGAGGTTGATTTACTAAAGGCAAAGGGACCTTGCACTTGGCAAATTGCAATCGTACTCTGCAAGTGCAGTTGATCCAGAGCTTAGTAATCGAGGAACAACCAGGGACGTATTTACCACAAGGAAAACAAGGCATTTGCCTAGGGCGGCATTGTTCAGGGGGGCAGCAGAATTTTTCAGGGGGGCAGCGCCGCCCCCCAAAAGAAGGCATGGAAGAAAGGACACACACAGCATAGGGACCAGGTGGGATCTGAGAGAGGCTGTGGGCTACTTGATGGCTTGATGGTGTATGCAGAACCCGACTCTTGTTCCCGGGGATGTTCGGAGCTGTGAAGGTGAGTGTCTTTTCTCTAGCCAAGAAGGGGTTGCCAGTGTATGGGGGGGGGGGGGGGTGGTAGTGGGCTGGGGTGTTGTTGATCAATATCAGGCTCTCTTTGTGGGGGAGGAGGGTGTTGGTCGGTGTAAAGCTCTCTTTGTGGGGGAGGAGGGGGTTGGTCGGTGTCAGGCTCTCTTTGTGGGGGGGGGGGGGGGGGGGGGTTGGTCGGTGTCAGGCTCTCTTTGTGGGGGGGGGGGGGGGGGTTGGTCGGTGTCAGGGTCTCTCCATGGGAAGGGGGGTGTTGATCGGTGTCAGGGTCTCTCCATGGGGTCCATGGGGGGGGGTGCCGATTATCGTGTTGCTTAGGGCAGCACGAAACCTAAATACACCACTGTGTACAGCTTCACTTTGCAAAGAATACCCAATCACATGCAAGGAAAATAAAAAAAAAAACTGCATTTTTGCTGGCACATGATTGGATGATGAAAGTCAGCAGAGCGTCTGCTCTGGAGCAACTGCACTTGCAAAGTGCGCAGTCTATTTGGCTTTAGTAAATCAACCCCATAGTGTGAATCGATCGTGTACTGCTGATAAAACACAAGTACACTGTTTGTTGTATCGTTTTGTTACATATTATACATAATCTTTGTTACATGGCAGACACAATATTTTATCTTTTGTATCAAAGATCCCATCCCTGAGCACAAGAAGAGGTCACAGCCATTACAGCTCATGTCCATTGCAGATATATTCCCTGCATGTTGTCACATTGCACATTTCTGAATGATTGTCCCAATTATTCCTACATCTTCACAGGACAGCAATGTAGGACTAGGAGGATACAAATATCTAGATACCAAAGTACATGGGAAAAGTCCAAAAATCCGAACGCCCTATCCGCAAATTCATTGCATCAAAAAAGCAAATCTGAGATGTGTCAGGCAAAGCAATAAGCCGATGTAGGGTCAGTTCCCACTACATGCATTTCAGTGTGCATCCAAAACGCACAGAAAGTAGGTGATAGGGTTGTCAGTGTCATAGTACACATCAGTGCCTGCAGTTCCAGAGCGTTCCAGATGCAGAAAAAAAAAGTAGAACAGGCTGTATACAGTAAAAAAAATAAAAAAAGTAGAACAGGCTGTATACAGTAAAAAAAATAAAAAAAGTAGAACAGGCTGTATACAGTAAAAAAGTAGAACAGGCTGTATACAGTAAAAAAGTAGAACAGGCTGTATACAATACAGTTCAATACAGAAGGGCCTTGCTCACGGAGCTTACAATCTAAAGGGAGGTGGTACAAAAGGTAATAGCTGCAGGGGATGATCTGATGGAAGTGACTCAAGTACAGTTTTTAGGTGGGGGTGGGGTAGACTCCCCTGAATAAATGAGTTTTCAAGGATCGTCTAAAGGCAGGCAGGGTGGGAGCTAACTGGAATACTGGGGCAGGGAGTTCCAGAGGATGGGAGAGGCTCTGGAGCAGGGGCAGACTGACCATTTGGAAACTCGAGCACTGCCCGAGGGCCCGGGGTCAGTACGGGGCCCCATGAGATGCCCCTGGTACCTTTTTCATAGGCTTTTTTGAGTTTGGGCAAGTTTGGGCCCCATGATCCCTTATTGCCCGGGGCCCCCATGAGTCGTCAGTCCGCTCCTGCTCTGGAGAATTCCTAGAGGTGAGCTTGGGAGGTGGTAACAAAAGAACTGGGGAGCAGGAGGTCTTGGGAGGAGCGGAAAGGACAGTTTGGGCAATATCTGCAGATGAGGTTGGTGACATAGCCAGGGGGGGGGGATGTTGTAAAAATCTTGAAATTAGTTGCACATTTTGGGGAACCCCTGCAAAAAAAAGGGGCTAAACCTATATTTCATGGTACATTAGCATGATCCAAAAGTAGTAGAATGTTTTCATTGAAAAATGTGGCACCCAGGAAATATTTTTTTTTAATTCTTTACCATCCCTACACAACAAAATCATTTCGGTAACAATCTGAAAATAAGACCATGGTGTCCTTTTCTACTAGTGACCAATGTAGACGTGACCCCTCCACTGCTGGTTAATGCAGGTGGGAGATCAGTAAACCATTGGTCGCAGGTACCCCAAGAAACCTCAGGAGGAACCCTAGTTGGGAAAGGCTGCCATAGACCTTTCCTTGATCTTGAGCCTTTATTAACAGAGCCATGTGATGACATTAAAACAGTGACCACGTGGCTTTGATGCCAGCAATGCCTACAGCTTTAAGATGGAATGTAATTTCACAAAATTTCACATTGCAATTCTGCATTCAGGTATTGGCTGCTAATTTCGACAAATTTTCACAACTTGCCATGTTGATGAAGACAAAGGCCTCTTCCCCACAACCCTGGCTGATGTTTGTGAGCAGGGGGCTTATTGCAGTCTGGAAGCCCACTTTATTAAAAAGGGGGCCCCCAGATACCACATTTCCCCCCTCCCCCTAACCCAGGAGAATCGTCTGCTCGTCCTTATAGCAGAAGGCTGCATACAGCCACTAGAGCTAAATACTGTGAAAATCTTCAAAAGTATTTGAAGCCACTGGATCAGCAAGACACCCAGGCAATGAGCATTTTCTAAGGCTAAGGTCAGCCTTAACAGGGCTTATCCCATTTACTTCAGAGTTTCAAATGATTAGAAACATACAAAAAAAGGATAAAATATTACAACAGGGGTGCCTATTAGTTTGTATGTTGGTTGACATGCATGGCGTCTCATGTTAATATATTAGTAGCATGTAATGATGGATGAGTGGATGACCATAGATGGTTTGGCGGAGGAACACAGACACCTTCTATCACCAATGGCAGCTTCAGGCTGTTCAGCCAACTGGAACCCAACACTTTGAGGTTGGAGAAGTTGCCATGTGGTGACAGTCAGGCTCTCTGGTAGAACTCCGCATATACAAACCTTCGGCCTAAACAATCTCCCCAGCGTGCTGCTCTTGGAGCTCTCGGCCTTCTTCTGAGCCCTCATCTCCGCCTCTGAGGCCTGCAGAGTGGCTGCCTTCCCTTTCTCTTTCTTTGAAGATGATTTGCGCATTCCACCATTTTCCTTTTTCTTCTGCTCAGATGGGGAAAAGATACAATATATAAAGATTGCAGGGAATTCTGTTTGTCTGATCAGTTTCTGGGGGTTATAAAGAAGCCAGGGTAGAGGGACACTATGAACAGGAGATGTAGACAATCAACAAAGGAGAAAGCTGAAGGTACACCTGGACCTGCCTTCATTATATGTCATTTTCAGGTTAAAATAAAACTCAAGCCAAGATTCTAGCTTTAGATAGAGCAGGAATGGCTGAGATCCCTTGATTGGTTGTTTATTGGTCAGTTTCCCCATTGGGGAGATTTCCCATCACTTCTTCCCCATGACCACACAAATAGGAAGAGGAACCTTCTCATTTGGGACACAGATGTCCCTACAAACCTGACAGGGAGTCTAACCCTTCCCAGCTCTATTACAAAAATGTCCTCAGAGAAATCCCCCGAACGTCCTGCCCTGGTGAACACACTAGAAGCCCTGCCAGTTATCTACAGCGGTCTGTGTCAGTTTGCGTGACAGAGCCAATGTTTCCACTGGATACCATGACAGCTGGTATACAAAGCCCAGGCACAGGAAAGAAACATAGAAACTGCACATAACTTCGCAGTCCAATCTGACACCACAATCATCAGGAAGGATAATAACATGTTGGGGAATACAGGTGATACAATGTCCCATGTTGGGGAATACAGGTGATACAATGTCCCATGTTGGGGAATACAGGCGCTACAATGTCCCATGTTGGGGAATACAGGTGATACAATGTACCATGTTGGGGAATACAGGTGATACAATGTCCCATGTTGGGGAATACAGGTGATACAATGTCCCATGTTGGGGAATACAGGTGACACAATGTACCATGTTGGGGAATACAGGTGATACAATGTTCCATGTTGGGGAATACAGGCGCTACAATGTCCCATGTTGGGGAATACAGGCGATACAATGTCCCATGTTGGGGAATACAGGTGATACAATGTCCCATGTTGGGGAATACAGGTGATACAATGTCCCATATTGGGGAATACAGGTGATACAATTTCCCATGTTGGGGAATACAGGCGATACAATGTCCCATGTTGGGGAATACTGGTGATACAATGTCCCATGTTGGGGAATACAGGTGATACAATGTCCCATGTTGGGGAATACAGGTGACACAATGTACCATGTTGGGGAATACAGGTGATACAATGTACCATGTTGGGGAATACAGGTGACACAATGTACCATGTTGGGGAATACAGGTGATATAATGTCCCATGTTGAGGAATACAGGTGATACAATGTACCATGTTGGGGAATACAGGTGATACAATGTCCCATGTCGAAGAATACAGGTGATACAATGTCCCATGTTGGAGAATACAGGTGATACAATGTCCCATGTTGGGCAATACAGGTGATACAATGTCCCATGTAGGAGAACACATGATATAATGATCTGGGAACAAGTGAAGTAAATGCTGGCAATCCGCTCCCATCCTAGACTCTGTACTGATGCCAACTCAGCTGATCCGTGAAGGAGGGGCAGCTGGGGACATGCCTGTGTCTTATCCAATCAGCTGAGCCGGCTGGTACAACACAAGATGAAGATGAGGACACACCATCAGACCATATCCACTGTCCATACATACTCCAAGCTGTCCCTCCCAGCACAGTCAACAGGCAGCAGCCAGCATCCAGACAAAAAAACAATTGATATACTGTATCAGCTACAATAGTAGCCATGTGTTGTTATGCAAATGACCTTTCTATATCATTCAATTACATTTCTCTTCCTTGCAAACATGACAACAGTACTCTGGTCAGGGCGTCCCTGAAGTCCCATCCCCCTGCTCATGTCATTTGCTCATAGCTTATTGTTTTTTCACTTAATTTGAAGCAGTGAGTCTTATACTGGCCAAGGGGCTAAAGGTATACTGGGGATATGAGATACAAACATTTTTATTATAATTATATGAGGCAATGGGGATTGTACTGGTGTCAAAGGTAATAAAGGGGCAGCATCCTCTGTAACAGGGGTGTCAAACTGGCGGCCCTCCAGCTGTTGCCAAACTACAAGTCCCATCATGCCTCTGCCTTTGGGAGTCATACTTGTAACTGTCAATTGTGCAATGCCTCATGGGACTTGTAGTTTGGCAACAGCTGGAGGTCCACCAGTTTGACACCCGTGCTCTATAACATGGGTGCTCAACCTGTGTCCCTCCAGGTGTTGCACACTACAAGTCCCATCATGCCTCTGCCTTTGGGAGTCATGCTTAGAACTGTCAGCCTTGCAATGCCTCATGGGACTTGTAGTTCCACAACACCTGGCGGGCAACAGGCTGAACAGGCTGAACACCCATGTTATAGACCACTACACAGTGGAACTACAAGTCCCATGAGGCATTGCAAGGCTGACAGTTCTAAGCATGACTCCCAAAGGCAGAGGCATGATGGGACTTGTAGTGTGCAATACCTGGAGGGACACAGGTTGAGCACCCATGTTATAGAGCACGGATGTCAAACTGGTGGACCTCCAGCTGTTGCCAAACTACAAGTCCCATGAGGCATTGCAAGATTGACTGTTACAAGTATGACTCCCAAAGGTAGAGGTATGATGGGACTTGTAGTGTGCAACACCTGGAGGGCCACAGGTTGAGCACCCATGTTATAGAGCACGGGTGTCAAACTGGTGGACCTCCAGCTGTTGCCAAACTACAAGTCCCATGAGGCATTGCAAGATTGACTGTTACAAGTATGACTCCCAAAGGCTTGATGGGACTTGTAGTGTGCAACACCTGGAGGACCACAGGTTGGAGCACCCATGCTCTATAAGGTTTGCCACCTCCAGATGAGTACCTGTCTCGGTAAAGCCCGGAGATTTTCCATCTTGCAGACTTGGCTGTCTGCAGCCACTCCTGCACAAACACCGTCCGGGCTCGCCTCGCTCACAATCATGGGAAAACAAACACAACTCGGCCAGCCGGATTTGCTAATGACGGATGTAGCAAAGCTTGAGCATTGAAGATCTTAACAGTCCGGAGCTCGGGCACTGCCAGCTATTAAAGCTGCCCCATAGACCAAAAATAGATCCCTGTTTTATTAAAGTTTTACAATCCAGGAAACAAGTGACAACCCTAGCAGCTTATTCTAGGATCAGACTATAGGATCGGGCAGAAGGGGGGTCAGGTGACCTATTCCACCAGCAGAGGTGGATTGTAGCCTAGGCACACTAACCCGCGCCGGCGTGTTCAGGAACAGGTATTGATTTGAACCATTTCACTTATATTTTGTAACCTCTTAAAATTTAGCTGCACCTGTTATGGTGGCTTTAAATCTATGATAGGAACCTCCTGCGCTACTCAAAAAATGGACCAATAACAATTATGGGGAGGAGGCTGCTGACACTCAACCAGGGGCGGACTGACCATTCGAGCACTCGGGCAATGCCCGAGGGCCCAGGGTCAGTAGGGCGCCCCATGAAATGCCCCTGGTACCTTTTTTATAGGCTTTTTTGAGTGTGGGCAAGGACACAGGGGCCCCATGATCCCCTATTGCCGGGGGGCCCCATGAGTTGTCAGTCCGCCCCTGCATCCAACCGTAGACCAAATGGATAATGCACCAATTGACTTTCTATTTGGCTTTAAGTCTGAGATATAGGAACGTGCAGGGGCGGACTGACAACTCTTGGGGCCCCTGGGCAATAGGGGCCCCTGTGTCCTTGCCCAAACTCAAAAAAGCCTATGAAAAAGGTACCAGGGGCATCTCATGGGGTCCCCTACTGACCCCGGGCCCTCGGGCAGTGCCCGAGTTTCCAAATGGTCAGTCCGCCCCTGGGAACGCGCACAGGTGCGCATCACCACTGCTCTGCTGTGAAGCTCATGAACATTTCATGGAGCAGACACCATGCCTTAGGACTTAAAATACGTCATGCCACCATTTTCCCATTGGAGAGATTTGCCATCACTTTCAGTGAAAAGAAAAACCCCTCTTGGGCAGTTGTCATAAAAACTTAAAAAACTGTGCTAAAGCAATGCTGCCAGGCAATGGTGTCCACATGCCATCACCCAGGTACCGTGTGATGTCAGGACAGGCGTGTGCAGATAGATGGTTCATACAAAACAGTTGAAAGTTTTTGCTGGAATTTTTTCTGGTACCAATGGACTGTTTAAAGTTCATGTGAAGTTCATACAATTTAAGATTTAGGGTTGTATTTACAAGCGAGCTATTCATCCTGTAGAACTGCATATTCGTTCTGTGCAAATCGGGTCAAAATTGAACATTACTAAGGTATTTCCAGGTCTGGGTCATATGTTCTTCATTTAAAGGAAAAGAGTGAACCAGGAAAATACGGCATTACGGCCGCAAGATGGAGCGGGGGGTTATAGGAAATACTTAGGAATACTATGATCATCAGCTCCAACTAGTGGCCATATTGCTGTATTTTCCTGATTCATGTTTTGCAAATGAATGAAGAACATCTGAACTGGAGAGACAATAACCCAGTAATATTGGATTTTGCTGTCGTTTGCCCAGCATGAATGTATATGTAGTTTCACGGGATGAATAACTTTGCAAGTACACCCCTTGGCGTTGGGGTAGCGGCAGTTAATCCAGAAGACCTCTGTACCGTCTTCTATAGCCCAGTCCATATATGGACATCTCACAGTTTTGCAACAGAGGGAAAGTCATGACTTTTCTGCAGGAAGATAACAATATGGCTGATGCCTTTGTATCCTTTCCTGTATTCCTCTCTACTTGCAAACACTGAAAGTCACACGATTTCAAAGTCGGATGTCATTCCGACTTGAGGTGCGACTTGCAAGACATCTGCGGACACAGATGTCTAATCAGACATCTGTGACTTGCAAGACACAGATGTCTATGCAAGTCACACCTGAAGTAGTACATACAAATTGGCATGGCTACGACCAAGTCGGAATCACACCGATATGCAAATCACATGGCAAGTCACACCCTGTGGGACCGGGGTGTTAGGTTAACCAGTTACCCTCAAAAAACCAAATATGATGGAGAACAATGGGCTACAGGACACTGCTACCTCCGATACTCATTACTCAAGCTAAAGAACTCCATGGTGGCCAACCAAGAATCTGAACAACCAGCTCATCCACCTACCTTATCCTCCACATCAGGTCTTGACTCCTCTTCAGACTTCGAGCCCGGCTTGTTGACCTGAAAAACAAAAAAATCCACCCAACATGTTGAAATGCTGAGGATTCTCCACAGAAGCACACTTTAGGCAAATGGTGGGTTGACAGGGAACGCTGTTACTTTTAGTGCCACACCAGGGTGTGGGGTCCACTCTTCTGCTGCTTGGGTTAAGGAAGATCTCCGGCCTAACAAAGGAGATGGGCACAGCAGGGAAGGACACAACTTCATTGTGGGAACAGGGCTTCATTCCTGGTTCATCCATGCTGAGGAGCAGCCACTAAAAGGGGAAGAATTTTAAATTGCAGCACATGACCCCGGCTGTTAGTGAACTGGAGACACAGAAAAAAAATTACGCCTAATGTGACACAGATGTGGGGTGCAGAAGAACATGGAAAGTCATTCTGGGTTGTGTCCTCTAAAAACATCAATGGTGCCAATGGGCTAGCAATGGTCTATGGGAACCCAACATTGCATGGGCCATTCAGGTTGGCTCAACACCAAACCCAGCCTGGCAAATAAGGTCATGACCACTGAGCCAATCATCTAAAAAAAAAAACAAAAACTTTCAGCATTGGGGGAGGAGCTAGAAGTCTTCACCAACCATCCCCTTTAATAGCCTATCTAAGGAAGGCCCAAAATTCTTTCACCACATTCTTTCTAAACAGGAACAGGGTACAGATCTTCAAAAATAAAGAGATAATTTTCTTCTTTAAATGATATTTAAATATTTATTTTTCTTGGTTGGGAGTAATAGATGGCTAAAACCTTTGTTTGCCACCATTTTCCCATTGGGAAGATTTGCCATCACTTTCAGTACTGTAGACACAACAATGGAAAGAAAAACCCTCTTAGGCAGTTGATATCAAAACAATTTGATGAGGAAGCAGGAGCAACTCTTGATGGAAAATGACAATCTTTTATTGAAAGTCTAAAAACACACAGGTTGAGCCAACGCGTTTCAGAGGAATTACCCTCCCCTTCTTCAGGGCTGTTGGTGTCTGTGAGTGGGGTGGGCTTCAAGGCAGGTCCTACATTTCGGACTATAGTTTGGCAGAATGCTGGTGCCTACTGATGCAATAGTCATTGATTATTTCTTAAATATAAGTATTTGTAGCCCTGATTGGGGGGTGCCTGAAATATGTTGGCTATTTCTGTTGAATACAAATTAACCTTTTCCCTCCCACAATACGCTATACATGTAGTGGCAGAGAAACTAGGCTTTAATGTCCACAAGCTGCCCCTATGTGAACATGGATGACCAAGACTCTTGTGCTGAGAGCGCGCTCGCTGCGCACTGAGCACAGTTTTCAGTCTCTGGTTATAACAGCCAATCAAAGCCAATAGTAGTGGTCACGTGATGGGGAGATCAGCCCCCGACTTCATGTGCAAAGACCCAGGTGCCGGGCTGGAAAAGGTTAAACTTTCTAGCAGGGGTGACTGACAACTCATGGGGCCCCTGGGCAATAGGGGATCATGGGGCCCCTGTGTCCTTGCCCAAACTCAAAAAAGCCTATGAAAAAGGTACCAGGGAAATCTCATGGGGACCCCCTACTGACCCTGGGCCCTCGGGCAGTGCCCGAGTTTCCAAATGGTCAGTCTGCCCCTGCTTTCTAGACATTCAATATTAGAAACAACATACAAATCAGCAAAAACAGGAAACAACTATAAACAAAACACACAAGAAAAAGAAAAAAAAGGGCCAAACACATTCTTCCTTCATAATAATTGCGCCCAGCAGCTGTTGTAAGGACTGGCGATTGCTGGCACAGACACACCAACCAACCCGGCGTGCCAGCACCAATGGGTGTTGCATTGTTTCTCCAACCCATAAACAAACACATCTGGTAAACCTATGAGGAACTATTTTTGGCCTTATCACACATCCGATAACTCCTGTTAACACAAATTCTTTTTTTCATGATGTTTATGGTGCAAACAGCATTTTCCGGCTTTGAATCAATAAGTTCCACATACACCGACAAAGTCATCAAGCAATTGGAATATTTACTGAAAAATCAAACATTGCGGTCTGAGCAAGCTGCTGGATCTTCATAACTTGTACATTTCAATGCATTTTCTGTTTTGTAACATTTATACTGAACTACGTATACTGAGAAGAACAGGAATTTGGATAGTTTCCCAATAGACACCATCTTGCACCTTCCCAATCTCATTTACAAATCTTATCATTTTGGCTACCATTCTAAATTTCGAAAATGGTGGAATATTCTATCCAGATCTATCTCCTAAAAAAAAAATTATTTTGCTTTATTGGAAAAAAAAAATTTTCCTAAATTTTGCCAAATGTTTCCATGATAACTTACATAATAAAATTTTGACAAAATTTTCCCCTGATAATCTTTTGCATGAAGGGAAGATTGAGAAGGACGTTTATGAACCAGTGGAACATTTTTTTTGCCTGTTTTTCAACACTGTCAACATTTTCTTTACTTTGACATTACAGCTTTCCATGTTCATGTTTTAGAAACTTTCTCACAAAATTACAGCAAAAATAAGGGCATTCATTTTACCGCTGTTTAGGCTTCAAGATTCAAAGGGCCTCTGTCTCTAACAGGTCTTAGGAAGTTTGCTGCAGCGTACAAGGTAACAGCTCAGTTATCTGTGGATTGCAAGCTTTGAAGCCTAGCTTTTCAAGATATCTTTCAAAAATTTCATTTTTTTTTTTTTTAAATTGCCACAGTATGAAAAAGTCAGATTACGGATTACATCAATCTGTGGGATCTGAAGACTAAATAACTCTCTTATGGTTCCTGTTATGGAGAGTTTGACCTTTTTTTAAATAACTACACCAAAAAAAAAACATAACAATCGTTAGATTTCAAACTTTGGAGGCTAGCTATGACTGGTTAGGGTAAGGTTAGCCTTAGATTTCAAACTATGTAGGCTAGCTAAGACCGAGTAGGGTTCAATTATCCTTTGACTGTAAGATAAAGACTGGCTACAACTAGATAGGGTAAGGATAGCCTTAGATTTCAGGGTTTGAAGGCTTTGAAGGCTAGCTACAATTAGGTAGGAAAAGTTTAGCCGTAAGCTAGCTACAACTAAGTAGGGAAAGCCTAGATTGCAAGCTTTAAAAGCGAGCTAAGACCAAGTAGGGTACAGTTAGCCTTCCACTGTAAGATTTAGGCTGGCTAAAACTGGGTAGGGTAAGGATAGCCCTAGATTTCAAGCTTTGAAAGCTTTGAAGGCTAGCTGTAATTAGCTGGAAAAGCTTAGACTTAGGCTAGCTACAATTAGGTAGGGAAAGCTTAGACTTAGGCTAGCTACAATTAGGTAGGGAAAGCTTAGACTTAGGCTAGCTACAATTAGGTAGGGAAAGCTTAGCTCTAGGATAACTACAACTAGGTAGGGAAAGCCTACATTGCAAGCTGTGAGGCTAGCTAAGACCAAGTAGGGTACTGTTGCCCTTTCACTGTAAGATTTAGGCTGGCTACAACTGGGTAGGATAAGGATAGCCTTATATTTCAAGCTTTGAAGGCTAGCTGTAATTAAGCAGGGAAAGCTTAGACTTAGGCTAGCTACAATTAGGTAGGGAAAGCTTAGCCCTAGGCTAGCGACAACTAGGAAGGGAAAGTCTAGATTGTAAGCTTTGAGGCTAGCTAAGACCAATTAGGGTACTGTTGCCCTTTCACTGTAAGATTTAGGCTGGCTACAACTGGGTAGGATAAGGATAGCCTTAATTTGCAAGCTTCGAAGACTAACTAAGACCAAGTAGGGAACAATTAGTCTTTTCTAAGTAGACACACCAAGCAAAATAAGAACATTTTGACAATAGTTAGACTGCAAACTTTGAAGGCTAGCTATGACCAGGTAGTTTAAGGTAAGCCCCCAATTGCAAGCTTTGAAGGCTAGCTCTACTTAGGTAGGAAAAGCTTAGACTTAGGCTAGCTACAATTAGGTAGGGAAAGCTTAGCTCTAGGCTAACTACAACTAGGTAGGGAAAGCCTAGATTGCAAGCTTTGAGGCTAGCTAAGACCAAGTAGGGTACTGTTGCCCTTTCACTGTAAGATTTAAGCTGGCTACTACTGGGTAGGGTAAGGATAGCCTTAGTTTGCAAGCTTCGAAGGCTAACTAAGACCAAGTAGGGTACAAGTAGTCTTTTCTAAGTAGACACACCAAGCAAAATAAGAACATTTGGCTATCGCTAGATTGCAAACTTTGAAGGCTAGCTATGACTAGGTAGTTTAAGGTTAGCCCCCAATTACAAGCTTTGAAGGCTAACAAGGGCCAAGCAGGCTATAGTTAGCCTTTGACTGCACACTGTGAAGGCTATCTATGACCATGTAGGCATCAACAAACCTTAGAATGTAGATTTTAAAGACTAGATAGGACCAAGTAGGGTACAATTAGACTTTTCTATATAGGTACACAAAGCAAAATAACGAAGAACATTTGGCTATTGTTAGATTGCAAACTTTGAAGGCTATCTACAACAGAGCAGGTTAGGGTTAACTCCAGATTGCAACCTTTGAAGGCTATCTAGGACAATGCAGGCTACAGTTAGCCTTTGACTGCACACTTTGCAGGCTATCTATAATTATGTAGGGAACAGCTACAGTTAGATTGTAAGCTTTAAAGACTAGATAAGACCAAGTATGGTACAATAAGACTTCTAAATAAATACAGCAAGCAACATAACAAAGAACATTTGACTATCATTAGGTTTAAACTTTAAAGGCTAGCTATGACCAGGTAGAGTAAGGTTAGACAAAGACTGCAGCTTTAGTGGCTAGCTACAACTGGAAAAAAGTAGGGGCAGACTAAGATTGCAAGCTTTGAAGACTAGCTAAGACCAAGCAGCGTACAGTTATCCTTTGAATGCGTAGGGAAAGTTAAGATTTGAAGTCTAGCTAAGACCAAGTAGAGTTAGGTTAGCCCAAGACTGCACTGTTAGTGGCTAGTTACAACCGAAAAGAGTAACAATAGCCTGAGATTGAACATTGAAGACTAACTAAGCAGGGTACAGTTATCCTTTGACTGGGTAGGGCAAGCTTAACCTTA